GACGATAAAAGAAGAAAATTTAACAAGTACCAGTAACAAAAGTTTCAAAATTTAACTTCAAATTTGTAATCAGAGCCCCAAAAACTGTTAAGTAAAGATTTACAAATAAAATAAATCAAGCTCAGAAAAATTGTTTGTTATATTGTAACCGTCATTTTGTGTTTTGTAAATCTTAGTACATATTTGTTATCACAGACCTTGAAAATCCTAATTGTAAGATATTATGTTACGTATAAAACCAAAAAGGAATTTTAAATTCACGCCCTATCCGCGACTATGAATCTCTATTTTCTACCTTTAGAGCAACCATTTTTATTTTAAAATAATAACTTTAGATTAGTAGGGGAGGATGGGACAAGGATAGTTAGTTGCTGTTATGCTTAGACGGCTTGCTCAAAAATCGCGTAATTCATGGTATATTCGCGTCATAACACCAAAAGATCATAGTAAAAATTGAAAGGCAATCTATCACCATTTGCGAAGTTAGGAGTTTATTTATGAAAAAAGTCTGTTTTGCTAAAATGTCAACGTAATGTTTATCATATTGTTTTCTAATTAGAGTTTTAGAATATTTATTTACGTAAGTGTTTTCCGGAGTGGAATTTCCTGCTGAACACGAATATCGTATTTATTTTCAAATTAATTCACGTTGTTCCATAATATACATAATGGTGCGTAATTATATACGGAAAAGGAATCTTATTGACCAAGAAATTGGTGGTCGTCTGAAGAAAATTGGTTATAAAACGAAAAGTGCTTACGATAAAATAGAAAATGCTCTTACTGAAAGGAATTTTCATATGTTCAATGTTTAATGTCAAGTTTTGAAACCTAACCTCACTTTCTAGTGGAATCTTGAGTGGTTAGTGAGTAAATTCAGTGGAATAGAAATTTCTACTGATTTGCTGTAGATTCTGATTCTTTTGAATGCGCGTTTCATATTTTTGTGAAGTCAATTCAGAATCATAGATTTTTTTGAAAGTTTGGTGGTTCCCGTGGAATAGAGCTCCGAGGTAAATTCGCCTATTATGAAGAATACAACTTTTGAGATCTTTTCAATTCTACGCTTTTTACCGGGCAGACATATATGGTACATATTATATACCCTGATGCTTTGCTGCTGTCCTTACGGTTTGACGGCGTTTTAAAAAATCGTGTTAGTATGTGACTATTGAAGTGAGTAAAGTGACCTTAGGAGCGTTCGATAGTCTCTAAAATTTGTAGGTTATGTGCGACCTAAATTTGTCGCCCTACAAAAACGGTACTGCCTGGTTTAGATGACGTGAAATTGGTAAACAATTATTTTCGAACGAGTCTCTCTCTGCACACAAGCACTTTTTGCAAAATCTGCATCCGAACCATTGACACAAATCTTCTTAATTACCTAAATCCAAAATATTTTTTTAATCTATTCAGAAACGCGGTTGCAAAATGGAAAATACAAAAGCAACAAAAGTAATGTAATTACAGGCGGCAAGACGTTTGTTACAGCCATTTGCCATTAGAGGGCAGAACCATGCAGGGAGCGTAAAGGCTCAGCTGTTAAAATGATTCGCATTACATTACTCTGGTCTTTCCCATTTTGCAACCGCGTTTCTTCAAGAATTAAAAAAATATTTTGGATTTAGATAATTAAGAAGATTAGTGTCAATGGTTCGGATTCAGATTTTGAAAAAAGTGCTTGTGTGCAGAGAAAAACTCGTTCGAAAATGATTGTTTACCAATTTCACGTCATTTAAACTAGGCAGTGCCATATTTGTTAGGTGATAGCAGTTTGTCGAATATAATCTAGAAATATCAGAGACCATCGAACACCGTTAATTCTTCTAAGTTGTATAAAATAGATTATTAAAGTTAAGAGAAAAAATATATGACGAGATCTGAAAAAGGGTCCTTAGAAGCAAAAAATTATAGGTTATGTTTGCAATTTTTTAAATGAAAATACAAAAAAAGGATCAACTGTTAATAAAAATCATTGATGTTTAAGTCTTCATTACAACTAAAATATTTAATAAACACTGACTTTAGTTTGAAAAAAGTACAAAGAAACTTTCAATCAAGAAAAATTTAACACTAATCTTAAAGTGACTTGCTTCTGAGGTCCCTTTCTTCAGATCGCGTCACATATTAGTTTTCGTTGTTTGTAGGGGAGTTTTCTGTGAGTTGGACACTCACAAAATCCACTAAAAATGTGTCTATGTCCGTTCGAATGACGTCCAAAAGACATCTTATGTCCTAAGAATGTCTCTAGGTCATAAGATATTTTTAGAACGTCCCTTGAACGGACATAAACATTGTCAGGATATCGTAAGGACAACCTATATAGGTATCTCATGTCCCTGTTCTGACTGGGAGAAAAAAGGACAGGTCATATTTGGGGACAATGATGGTAATGTCTTTCAGTCATCTAAAAGACAACTAAAACACATTCTGTGTCTGGTCCAAAAGACGTCTAAAAGACATAAGAAAGGACATCTGAAGTACGTCTTAAAGACGTCTAAACGACATAAAACGAAGGTCTAAAAGATGTCTTTTTACATTCCTTCAGATCTTAAATAGACATTTCTTTTATAACATTTTCTAAGTTAAAATACAGTAATATTGTTTTAAATTTATTGTAAGTTTAATTTTATATTTTCTAATAATAATAATGTATACAAAAATTTAAAATATCATATTTTTAAAAAGTTTGAATTCTTGGGTCAAGACTAACATTTTACAAAACTTATATCCCTAATATTGTCCAGAATTATGGTCTATTTTAAATATGAGTATTAGGGTAGTTTTTATTTTAGAAAAGTTAAAATTTCTTAGGTCGCCGGCCGGAATTTGAATTAAAATGTGAAAAAACTAACCTACTCACAAGAACAGTCCATTTAATAAATTAACCCGTACCGGCGAAGGGTGGAAGTTTAAATGGGACTTAACATGGGTTTGGTGCACTTCTGCAAACTTTGTATTAAAACTTTTCCATTTATTAAAAATTTGACTTGCTACTATGTATTCTTATAGTTCTTAGTACTCCGAAAACAAATATGATGTAATTAATTTTACTAATTTTTATTTTACATAAAGAGAAAAAAGGACTGCTTTTATTTTCAATCCCTAGGTGTGAATTTAAATTATTAATTGGCAATATAAAATCGGTATAAACTTATTGTTTTACCCTTGTTACACGATGAACTAAACAAAATCAAATAATTTCAATCCAGTTTTTCTAAATTCATCCAGGAAAATGATGCTCCGAATTCAATTATCGTCGCTCATCCAAGTTACTCGAACATATGCTTAAACCAATAAGTAATTATCTCCACCAGGCAACAAATAAAAAAGACGATCCGACGGGTCAAATGTGTATAAATTAATATATGATGATTGAGATAATTCAGAAACTGTAAATTTAGACAATTTTAATTATCATTCACGCTTTTACATTCAATTTCAATTTTTTTATTACTCACCCCGCAAACGGGTATACACAGCTTGTCGCAGTGCGACTTCCGCGATTCTAACACGTTATAGAATTTTGGGCATGACTCATTATCAACTTGTGAATTTTCGGCCTTTCGACGATTTTATACGATTCTACTTAACGACGTGACAAAGATGACAAATAATAATCTTATTTTTAAAATATTTTAATAAATTTTTTTAGTCTTCCTTAAATTTCACCACAGATGCCATATTTTGTTGCAACCGGTTTTTCGTTGTTTATTTTTAAACGCACTTTATACTTTTTTTTCGTTGTGTTTAATTAATTTTATTAAGTAAACACGCGAAAATTTTGTAAAATTAGAAGGTTAGATTAAGGTAGTACGCTCGCGACAGTCACTCTCAAAAGTAAATTTTCATAAAATGGTATAGTATGGTGCAGTTATTGTAGCATTTTTTTGCTTGGACTGTACTGAATACATAGTAAGCCCTATGTACAGACACACTCACACACAAGTTTACCAGTCAGGTTAGAATATTATATTTTATTATATCTTTTAACTGAAACGGTTAATATTGTTAAATATTTTTGTTTTAAATTTTTCAAATATTCATTTATAATATATTAGTTTTTTAAAACAATCTATAGACAATTTTAGAAGTTATTAAAAGAAATGTGCCATTTATATGCACTCTTTACAGGTTAACCATGTTAAATAACAAACTTTTAACTTAAATACCTTGTTTTAGAAACGGTCAATTGTTTTAAAATTGTGCAAGTTTGTAGATCTTGTTATTAATTATTCATATTTTAAATTTCAGGGAATTCTATAGAAAAGTTCGATCGCGAGCGTACTACCTTAAGTAGAAAACAAATGCATTTCACATGATATTCAATGTTTTGTCCCTGGCTTTCTCACCCCCAAGACCAGTTTTTCTAAAAGCTAAAATAAATTTTAAATTCAGTTCAATTTCCAAAAATTAACATTGTATACGTTTTGAGTATAGTTTTCTCCTTATGTACAAACATTTACTTTTATTACCCGTTCACTTAAACAGGTTGTAATATGTTCGAAAAGTTCATCGAAATATTATACGCAGAGCAACTCAAAAATTAAAATTGCAATAAAAATTATATTAATATAGGTACAACATCCTAACTAGTATCAACTGTGTTAACTAGTATTAACTGATAGTATTTATATTTTAAATAGCTGATAAATCGGTTTAGTAGTTTTCAAATAAAAGTCAAATGGATTTTTTGCACCTTGGCTATTTCACCCCGTTCTACTCTATATTATTCTTAATCCATACTCATTGAAATTAGAAAACAAATAATTATTTTCCGCGAATTGTTTACAAAGAAGAACCGCCTAATTATAGAACATTATCTTATAACTAAATTTAATGATAGGAAAATCAATTTTTGGTCTATTATCGCGAGGGAAATAAAGTCTTTATATTGTAAAAGGTATCATACATCAATTTTTTCCATTATACATTTACTCGGGTAAATTCTTTTTTCATTCTTTGAAATATAAAATGTAATCGTCAATGTTAGTTACAGTTCTTTCTAAGAAGTTTATTTCCGTTATAAGATGTATTTTCTCAAATATTGTTTCATACAACAGTAGAAAAGATAATATATGATAATATTCGACGTTAATTCACATAAACGTTTTTCTATCGATTTATTATTTCACCTTATTTACACATTATCTCTTTGCATCATTCTTCGCTTTCTGTTACTTCAATGGACCTATATAAGAGTCCTTATTTTAAAGTCAACAAAATCGCTCTCTTTGTAATAGGACAATGGGTTTATCAGACAGTAAAAATGAAAATCTTAACTAGAATTTTAGTTTTGACATCACTTACATCTGCAATTATTCCTCAGGTATTTTATAGTAATCAGTTTTTTTAATGACTGATGTATTTTTTATGAAAATTTCAATTATACTACTCATTTTGCTCTTCATTTCTATAAAATATTTTTTAAGAAAAATTCATTATTCCCAATAAGCACTATATTTGAGCTTAATCTTGTGAAAATATTGCCTCAACATTGTTTATGTCGAAAGTTTTGCATCGAAAAAAATGCCTAGGGCCTGTATATCAGGAATTGACTAGGTTTCCTAGTTACGAGAGAAACCCATTATAGAATCCTAGTGAAAGTAATAAGATTCAAGCATAGTTAAAGTTAACAGAAAAATTAGTCAATGCAACCAGGAAATACCTTGGAATTAATTTACACTTATGAAATAAATATTTAACGCTGCGGGCACGCGAACACTTAAACCTAACGAATACGCACTTTCAAACCCAGAATGATAATAACCACTACACTAAATACGCACTTGGTATTTTCATTTTTTAGTGGATACTATAGATTTTCCAGTCAAAATACAATACTTAATCATCATTCATTTGGTTTCTAACGTTTAAGTAAAATGTGTATACATATCCTTTCTTAAAAAAGACATGGAGTGGAAAGGTCGAATGTATCGAAAAGTATCGAAGTAAAGAATGGGCAATGAGAATGTAAAATCTTAATAGAAGGGTGTTTTTAAAATTGTTTGTACATGTGAAGGTGGCGCTGCAGTCGTATGTTATTTAAAAAGAGCGCGAATATATAAATTTTATTTTTGTTAAGAGAAAGTACACATAATAAATCTTATTTTGCATTGTCAAAAAAAACGTCAACATTTCAAATAAGCAAATTATGAACTGAAAAAATTTGAATATTATTATTAATAAAATAATGGACTTGGACAATGGACATATAAAAACTAGCACAGTAGACGGCCGCTTGCGGCCGTGGGAGGAGCTAGTATTCTATAAAATAATTATTGAAAACATTTTTTGTAATATAATTTTTAATTTTTAAAATTTCTGAGATTTTTATATGTCTTTCGGTTTATGTATATAGTTCTTGAAAAGTTTTTTATATTCTTGCAAAATATCTTCAGCATTTTCTACAAGATTAAAGTAGAGTAATGGCACTAGTGAAAGAACATTTAAGGAAATATTAAATATATACATTCTATATTTAAAAACAATTACATTTCATATAATTTCTAATGTAAAATGTCATTATGTTTTAATCTTTCTTGGATTAGACACATTTCAAAAAATATAAAGGGATATTAAGAACTTCAGCACACGGAGAGAGGAGTTAAAGTGGGTTGTACAAGTTTATTAATAATATTATTAATTTAACTATTAAAAATATATTAAAATTAATTAAGAAGCTACATATTACAAAGTTAACCGAAATCGGGATAAAATATTATTTTTCAAAGCTTTATTTGCTGTGATACTTATTATTTATGCTTATTATTAGAAATAAATATTAGGTTATTGTTAATATAATTATAAAAAAAAATATTAACTGTTTTTTCAATTATACGACAAACATATGTTGTAATTAGAAATTTAGATTTTATAATATTCTCTATTAAACTAAACAATTATGGAAAATATCATTTTTTAATTAGTTAAGTATTGTAACCTTATACCACCTTCAGTGTCTTTTTGTAAAATATTTGTATCATCATATATAAAAAATTCTCTGGAAAATAATTAATATTACCTTTCACAAAATTATTATTTAGAAACGTTTAACTATCTATCTATTATAAAACTATTATTATTAAACTATTATAAAAGAGGTTAATTTTTATTTTGGTAAATTGTAAACAGAATCGTAAATATGACATATCAAATCGTAGACGATACTGATCAAGTTGGTAGTCCTAATAACTAAACGTCTGTTTAGTGAAGTTTACTTTTGGTTTTGTTGAACGAAAATGTCACCACATTGTTTAGTAAGTATAACTTTAGGCTAAGTAAATAATTAACTACTTTCATCTCTCCGTGCACTGAATGTAGTCGTTGCAAAGGTTCTCTTTAGTTACTTTAATCATTGTAAAAAATTTAACTGAACTTATTGGTTACCAAAAACGTCAAGTTAGATCGGACTTATTTTAGCAAGGCTGTTCTTTTATGAGAAGAGAACTTTTTACTAAACCAGCCCACAGTGGGCCAGAATCGCTAGTTTTTGGCCAAAATTAATAATTCTCAAAAAGCGTGAAATTTATGCCTACTAAATATGCTATCCATTGTTTTTAGGATCGCTGATTACGATTATGAAGTCAGCTTTAAAAAATTCAAAATGGCGGATCCAATATGGCGGACATCAGATTAAAAAAATTATTCAATTTTCATAAAACTGGATATCAAGGGGGTTTTAGGGGTCGCTAATTACGAATATGTAGCCAGATTACAAAAAATTCAAAATGGCGGATCCAATATGGCGGCCATCAAATTATAAAAATTATTTAATTTTCATATAACATCAGGGCATTTTCGGAGTCGCTGATTACGAATATGAAGTCAGATTTTAAAATTCAAAATTGCGTATTTAATATGACAGACATTAAATTTAAAAAATTATTCAATTTTCATAAAACTCGATATCAGGAGTCGCTGATTACGAATATGAAGTCAGATTTAAAAAATTGAAAATGGCATATTTATTTATTCCGTATTATGCTTCGAAACATAAAATTAACATAAATAAATCTGCCATTTTTAATTTTTAAAATCTGACTTTATATTCATAATCAGCGACTCCGAAAATCCCCTGATTTTTAAAACATCTCATTTATATTTAATAAAATGGAAAAACACAGTCAACATGCTTAATCTAAGCTATTTTAAACAAAAATCAATGTTGAAGAATTGCATTTATGTTTAAGATTATGTCTTTCAAAAAATAAAAATTGTATGGTCATACAAAATATTTACGACAAAATTTTCTTTATTTCTTTTTCTTGTTAAAATCAAAATGGGCAAAAAGGAGCATATGTGAGTTAAAGTATACTATCTAAGGAGTAATAATTTGTCATATTTCTCATTCAATTTGGTGGTGGAAATCGAGGGAAACATTAATTTAAATCTAGTCACGTACGAAATTTTATCTATAAATATTTATTTAATGAGGTGTAACTTAATTTCAAATTAATTAGGAAGCTGCAATTATTGATTAACAAACTTTTATCTTATATGTGAATAAAAAAAGTACCTTATTATTCTATTTAAAAACATTGTAAATAAAAAAATGCGTTAAATATTCAGAACGCTTGAAATTTAAAAAATAAAATTTATTGTTCGAAGGGTTGTATAATTCTTCCCAATTAATATAATGCAAAACTATTTTAGTGTTTGATGCGAAAAAAATGTATAAAAATAAGTAATATATATCTCATCTAATTTAAATCAAGTTAAAAAATTGCCTTTTTGGACAAAAATTTGAGTTCCTGGCCCACTGTGCAGTCGAACATTTTTTTGCGTGCATATAAAAAAAACTCAAGTACAACTTATAAGTTGGACTTAATTTTTTTCTTTTAAACATAAAAGGATTGTATTTTTCATATTATATTGTTTTACTCCATTTATAAAAAGTCTCATAAATTTTGCAAGAAAAAAAGTGAAGGTAAGGTATAATTGATCATGGTTAATTCAGTAAAAGCAGGTTTTCTTCTATACTGATGGTTCTGGTTGAATATACTTTTTAATATTAAAAACTAGCTAAACTATCCGCGCGCAAGCGCGCGGGAATGTTGTGTCAAACTGCTTATTTTAAACAATTTAAACTCCATTTTATTTTAAAAAATGTTTAAAGAAATAATTATTATTACCTAACAAAAAGTTTGAAATAATTAAAAGTGGAAAAAGTTAACAATTATAGAGAATTAAATTTTCATTTTATATTATTTTGAAACTTTAAAGTTTACAAAAAAGATTTAAGAACTTCGAACTTCTAATTTTTTTTAAATTCAAATACTTTCACTTAATGGTCTCAATTTAAATAGAATTTACATTACTGGACCTGAACTATGGCTAGACATGGTGGCCACTGGTCAGGGAAAAGTCAGGGAAAAATAAATAGGTCAGGGAAAAGTCAGGGAATTTTTTAATTAGTCAGGCAAATTGTAAAGATTATAAAAAGAAAAAAAAATTTATATAAGGGAGACTAGGGCTAAATATTAAACAGCCAAAACAGTCAAATTGCATTATCTTTCTAACGGAAATAGTTAGATATAAATATCAAATAATTTTTATTTATATCAAATATCCAATTAATTGAGTGAAATAAATAAATAAATTGTTTCAAATAACTAATTATTTGCATCAAATAAATTCGTTTATTAGAATCAATTAAATATTTAATTGATCCAATTAAGATTTATTTGAGTTAAACAAATGTGATTCAAATAATTCAAGTTATTTGAAGCAAATAAATATTTATTAGTTCCAAATAAAATTTTTGCAAATAATTCGAATTAATTGAATCAAATAATTTTTTTCAGTGTATTTATGTCATTAGGCAAGTACACGGCCGAAAAACGAAACCGCCCACGACAATTTAACCCATAATTTTGTTTTTTATTTATAAATAAATTTTAGTTTATTAAATTTATAATTGTTAAATGTTACAAAATCAAAGTTTTGAAAAAAGAGCAAAACATTTATTTTACGCTAAAATATTAGAAGCTTTTTTATTAAATGTTGGTGAGGACAATTGGCCTATACAAGATTGATCTATTTATATATTTTTGCATTTAAACGGATTTATTGACTAAAAAACATCTTTTCAAAATTTAAGTTTTAGCCGCAGTCTCAGCTACTTTAAGATTAAAGATTTAATTTTAAAAATAAAGAATTTTATCTACTTCTACAAATTGATTCAAAAATCCTTAAAACATCCTTCTCAACTGTTTGAAATGAATAGTAGTTATTAATAATAATTTGAGAGATATATTTCTTATTTAAATTATTGTTCATTAGAAACCAAGTTAAAAACACCCAGAATATTGGTCAGGGAAAGTCGGG